ATAGTACTTGATCTGAATTTATTAATCAATAAATCTGATGTGTGTGATTATAAAAAAAAAAAGACACAATTTTACAAAGCAAAGTCATGTAGTGATAAACAGAAACCATAATCAAAGTCAAGACTGGCAGTAAAATTCCATTACTTTACTTTTGAAAGGCAAATTCATCTTTTTCACAGAGATTTTTTTTTTTACTTTTTCAATACAATGATTGGGAGATAAAAGTGGGTTAAACATTTAGGGTAGGTAAAAACACATAGATCTGATGATCAGCATAGTCAATCATGCGGCACAGAATAACAGGATGATGTTCACACTGTGCATCTTGTGCAGCAAAAGTCAACCATTTAGATCAATTGCAACAAAATCATATACCTTTTGACTTTTTGTTTCTCTTCTTATTATGGATTATGGAACATAAAAGGATTAGGCTTTAACATGTAGGCCGTGGCTATAAGGTCCTAATGCACTTTAACATAAAGCCAATATGACAACATCTTTCAATGCATCTGCTGATCTTATGCCATTGCCAATCGCCATTTTGAACTGTACTAGCACCACCCTTGAGGCCACCTAGCCATCGCCTCGTACTCGAATTTGAACCCAACACCACCATCTCTTTCCGTGGGAACATAAGCTTTGTCCGGAAGCCTCTGCTTCGATGGCTCGGTGTCAGGGCTTGTTCGTGTTTGGTCGATTGAGATTGAAAATGATCACCATTGGTGACAAAGATCTCGATTCGACTGCACGCGAATTCCATTTTAAGGTATGTTTAGAGCCCATTTTCACACTCATTTCGCTATGGACATGGACTTATCAAAAATCAGCCCCATATGGCAAAAAGGCTCAAATGAAGAGAGATCCAAATTTGTTGGGAGAGCCCCCATTTTCATAATATTATTAAAATTTCCATCTAATCCTAATAGATAAGAAGGTAAAGTATACAAATACTATCTTGACTATAGGAGATTATTTTATTGAGTCTATCGACTATAAAAAAAGTTATAAAATGATCCCTCAACTTTAGGATGTTATTTTGTTGAGTCTCTCGACTATCAAAAGTTACAAAATGGCCATCTGACTATTCATTATGTTTTAAACTCATCTTTTTTCTTCAAAAAATTGATGACAGTCTGAGTTGGATATTAGTATGTTGTCTTAGATATGATAGTCGTTTAAGATATTTTGGGATCAAATTTTATCAAATGTCATACAGTAGATTAACATTCAGCTCAGACCGCTGTCAATTTTTTTTAATAAAAAGGGATGAATCGGGTACTCAACAAAGTAAGATCCTATAATTGAAGGATAATTTCTATACTTTACCCTAGATAATAATAACTTAATGGAATGTTCAGGTCTGGTCATTCATTGCCCACTCAGATTGCAATGTCTTAATATTTTAGAGGCATGTGAGCATATCAGATTAGTATAGATCTTGTATCTTTTATAGCAGTCTGATTTCATGGATGACCTAAGCCTTAAGCGACTCGTAACAGGTGCTGATTATTAGTACAAGACAAGAATTAGCTGCATAGGACAGCGAACACGATTAACAAAAAAAAAACCCAGACATTCAAGAGATGGAGAAGCTAGTTTCAAGCCGGTAAAAACACAAAACTTTGCCTGATTCATATATTTTCCCACCAGAAACAAGGCCCGGCAACCTTATCGTTCCCACTTGCAAAACCATCCCAGTAATCGATCTGAGCAACGCCGTGGGTCAAAATCGAACCCGCATCATTCACCAGATTTTGAAAGCTAGCCAAGACTATGGATTTTTACAGGGAAAAAAATTCTCATCAGTATCTTCTGCAGATTTTGATATGTTGCTTCATTGTTGGTGTTTGTAAACTGCAGGTTGTTAACCATGGAATTGATGAAGATCTGATGGATGAAAGCATGGATGTGTTGAAGGAGTTCTTTGAGATGCCTGATGAGGATAAGGCCATGCTTTTTCCCAGGATCCAAACGAAAGCTGCAGGCTTTTGGCGAGCAGTGTAAACTATCCTAGGGAAATGGTTTACCATTGGCGTGACAATCTAAGACACCCTTGCATCCTTTGGAAGACTGTATCAAACTCTGGCCTCAAAAGCCAATTAGATACAGGTAAAATTAAAAAGGCAAAATTCCAAAATTCACCCATGATAAAATAATCATTTTCGATCCTTATTTCTTTCAAGTACTTTGATCCCAATGTGTCATTTTAGAACAAAATGCTTCTGAAAATTGTTAATTGATTAATGACCAACGTTTATCATTGACATAGCAAGTTCTATGTGTCTAAAGTGACGAAATATCATGTGTTATGCCATCACTCGTATATATATAATAATATGTGTCACGTTATCACTTATGTACATGTAATATTTTTCATGTTATCACTTTGAACGCATGTCATGTGTGACATCATCATTTTGGGAACATAAGATATATCACATAAGTGACAAATATAAATCGTTAGTTACCTAACAGTTTCCTCTAATCAAATATTATTTTATTCTAAAATGAAATATTTTGAGTTAGATTATTCCAAAAAAAAGATAGAGACCAAAGTCATTTTTAGTATCTAAACTTTAATTTTTTTCAAAATCATACCTAAAATTTAGTTTTTTTTTCATTTGAGTACCCCATTAAAAACTTTATTTTTGTTTCATTTTAGTACCATTTTCAAAATTTAATGTTAAGTTTTAAAAAAAAGTTTAGGTATTAAAACGGACCAAAACTAATAGTTTAAGTACTAAACGTGTTAAGTTTTTAATGGTGTCCACTAAACTGAAATGAAAACTAAACATTACGTATGATTTTGAAAAAAAAAAAAAAGTTTAGGTACAAAAACGGATCAAAATTAATAGTTTGGATACTAAATGTATAGTTTACCCTAAATATTTTGGTATCATGCCAAAGTAAAACCCATGCATTTTCTCTCTTATATATAGTTATCATTCTTTCGTTTTCTCAGCACAAAAGTTTTTGTAGGCAAGTAGTGGCAACATACACAATCGAAGCAAAGAAACTGGGTTCAAGGATCCTGGAGTTACTTGCCGAAGGCTTGGGGCTAGAACCCGGATACTTTGGGGGACAAACTAACTGAATCTACACTACTATCAGTTAACCATTACCCGCCCTGTCACGACCCGAGTTTGACTCTGGGGATATCTAAGCATGCGACGCCCAACTCTTAACCATTCTCCACCAGGGAGACGTAAACGGCCTCCAAGTCTTCCACGATCGGCAATGGGTCGGCGTCGAGCCATTGCGCAATGCGCTCGTGGTTAACATAGGCAGCACGTTACAGGTATGTTATCTGTTTGCTCGTGCTTGAGTTGCATAGATTATCAGTAACGACAAGCTGAAGAGTGTCGAACATCGGGTTGTGACGAACTCGAAGGTTGCTCGAACGTCGTTCGGCTTCTTCATTGCCCCCTCCGATGATAGCATTATAGAGCCGGCTAAATCTCTCATCGGCGAGGCTGCAGTTTATAGAGCTTTGAATACAAAGAATTCCTGCTTCATTTCTTCCCCAACTTCGACAACAATGATATGGTTATGGGACGTTTTAAATTACAAGCTTGATTGACGAAAATTATGTAAGAAATATGATGCAAATCCGATGTTAATTTTATAAATCGAATCCGATTTCTTTAATCGAGAGTATGATGTATCTTATCACTACACTCACACCCGATACTTGTTGGTCAATATTTTTATGAGTAAATTATGTATTAGTACCTAAACTTTTAAAATTTTCAAAATCATACTTAAAGTTTAGTTTTTTATTTCATTTTAGTATCTCGTCCAAAATTTAACGTTAGGTTTTGATAAAAATTGAAAGTTTAAGTATTAAAACGGATAAAAACTAATACTTTAGGTACTAAATACGTTAAGTTTTTAACGGTGTGTACTAAAATGAAACAAAAACTAAATGTTAAGTATGGTTTTGAAAAAAATTAAAAGTTTAGATGCTAAAACTGATAGTTTAGATACTAAATGTGTAATTTACCCTATTTTTGTTTTGATTTGGTATAATTTAATTCTTTAACTAGTTACTATAATTATAATAATGATATAAAAGAAATTAATATCATCTTATCACATAAATCTAACCAAATATATTTAATCAACAATAAATTTATATATAAACATAAGGTTTAAAATTATTATTTTTAACTCATTGCAACGCTTTAACCGTGTTAAGTATCACTTACAATATAATAGCGGGTAAAGTATACAAATGGTCCTCCAACTAAGGGTACTATTTTATTAAGTCCATCGATTATTAAAAGTTATAAAATAACCCTCTAACTATAGAATATTGCTTTATTAAGTCCCTCGACTATTAAAAATTATAAAATGATTGTCTGACTATTCATTATGTTCCAAACTCGTCATTTTCCGTTAAAAAAATTGACCATTTTCTAAGTTGAACGTTAACATGATGACTGAGATCTGATAGTTGTTTGAGATTATGAGATCATATTTTATCATATCACAGTCAGTAGGTTAACGTTTATCCCATAATATTGTCACTTTTGTAACAGAAAATGACGAGTTTGGAATATAATGAATAGTCAAATGATCATTTTGGAACAAAACGACACTTTATAATTGAATGACCATTTTATAACTTTTAATAATCAAGAGACTTAATAAAGTAATACCCTATAGTCGGAGAATCATTTATGTACTTAACCCTAAATTTTTAACTATTATTAGTATTACAAAAATTAAAATATGTTATTTTTTCAAATTAAAGTGGGAAATTAATGTCTAAATTTCGGAAAAGTAGAAGGACTAAAACCAGAATTACACCTTTTAACTTTCGAGGCAACTGGTTTGGGAATTAATCTTCTACAAAGCCCTAACTACAGATAGCAGAACCGTGATTAAGCCCGAATTCCATTTTTAGTAAACGATCACTGATCGTTGGCCGTTGGTTGTTAGATGCCGATCATCTCAACCGTTCAAAACAGGACCCACATCTAATCCCGCTAGACGAAGATCTCTCCGTGATCGAATATAAACAAAAGGAAATCTCTGACTTTCTAGTGGTTTAGTTGAGCTAGGTCTCTGTCTGACTCCTCCAGCAGCAAAGCTCTCCGCTTCCTGCAAGTCAAAGAAACAGGGAGAACCAAATTTGGGTTTCTTTAAACCGACAGATCCAGCACCCGAAGGTAAACTAATTAATGCTTTGAAAATGATTGGAGGGGTAAATGAGTCCTGAAATCTGAATTTATTGTTCTGCATCTTTTGATTTGATTGAAAAAGGGGGAAAAGGATGTCTTTTTAGAACCAATGCTGTATTTTTTAAGTTTGGGTGATGGGCCAATTTTAGAATGTTATTGTTTGTAGTGGGTGTTTAATTTCTAGAAAAAGTATGGATTTTGATGCTTAATTAGACATTGGGTACTGTTCTTGTGCCTTTATTCTTAAAGTTTTGAACTTTTCTTTATTTTAAACTAAAGAATATGCATGCTGTTCCTTGTTTTCCTTTTTACAACTGTTTTTGTATGCTCCAAGTTCTTCTTGGTCAAAAGGGTTTCCATACTTATCCTTCTTCATGTAATCATTTACCTGTTTGGTACTACTTCAATGACGAATTCTCTTCGAATTTGCATGTTTCGTCGAGGCAACGGACCTAAACAGTTAAGTTAGTTTGGTTCAATGTGTTTGAAAAATATTTTAGGTCTTTGTATCTATAATATGATCTGTTCTGGGCCTCTGCCTTAAAGCTGGATAGTGGTTGCTGCAGTACGCTTTGTTGCTTAAAGATATATATGTTTCCATCAGTTATCTTTTTAGGTTCACAATAGGCTATTATACAATTTCCTGGTCTCTATCCTTTTATGGTTCTCTAGTTACCATGAGCCACAAAAACTATTTAAGGACTTCAACTACGCCGTCTAGGTTTAGGTCTAATGCAAGGAGTTCAAACATTAGCTTCGAATTTGCCAACTTCACTTTGAAAAGACGTTTTCAATGTCTAAACTATTGACCATGTTTTAAAATATTCAATGAGCTAAAACATCGCATAATACTCGCATCACGTTTGGTTGATCAGATTGTCGAATTTTTCCATATGTATTATGTTATGAACCGGACTTCAGTTTTTGTCAGGTTTTGCATATTTCAAATCTTGATAAGGTTTTGAAATGGAAAGAATTACCGAGAGAGTGATGCAGATGTATGACAACATAGTTAGTTTCCTGCGGAAATACATTTTTTACGTTCTTTCTGTTGGTCCCATTCCTAATCATATTGCATTCATCATGGACGGGAATCGGAGATACACAAAGAGGTGGGAATTTGATGCACGGAGCCGGCCATAAAGTCGGATATTCAGCTCTCATGTCTATGCTAAAGTACTGCTACGAACTTGGTGTGAGGTATGTAACAGTCTATGCCTTCAGCATCGAGAATTTCAAGAGAAGTCCTGAAGAGGTTCAATCTTTGATGGACTTGATGCTAGACAAGATTGAAGAGTTACTCATGGAAGAGAGCATTGTCAATCGGTACGGTATTAGAGTTTACTTTTCCGGGAACCTTAAACTCCTGAATGAACCAGTTAGGTTGGCAGCTGAGAGAGCTATGCTTGCCACTGCTAAGAATTCCAAAGCAATTCTATCTATTTGTGTTGCCTACACTTCCACCAATGAGATTGTGCATGCCGTTCAAGAATCTTGTGAAGAAAAATGGGATGAAATCACTCTACTCAATTCAAATGGAGGGAATGAACCAGATGAAAACACTAACCTTATTAAACTTACTGATATCGAGAAACATATGTATATGGCGTTTGCACCCGATCCTGATATCATAGTACGTACTTCTGGTGAGACACGCTTGAGCAATTTCCTTTTATGGCAGAGTGCAAACTGTTACTTGTATTCTCCATCAGTGCTATGGCCAGAGATTGGATTTCGTCAGTTTCTATGGGCGATATTGAATTTTCAGCGGATTCAAGTTTATTTAGACAAGAAAATAAAGCAGTTGTAGAATATTTCCAAATTGACTCAAATCTCTATCATGTTTTAGTAATAGAAACAGATTCCAAGATTGGCTTGGACTTGTTTTTGGTGTCCTTGCTGCTGTTATATACCGGGGTAAGCGAGTATACAATAAAGTCAATTGATCACATTCGGAGGAGCTCCTTACATGGTAATTGTAATATATCAGCAAGCAAAGCGCTTCTGGGTTATATACGGACACGATTATACTCGGAGAACTTTATTATGGTTTTGTTAGGAGTGTATGACTGGATCTGTAACCCTTGCAAATGATCTGTTTACATCCAGAACTGATTCTTGTGCTGTTCCTTTCTCCCTTTGTTTTACATTTTTCATGTTATTGTAAAAGCTGAGATCCCATTGTGCATTTATGTAAGGTAAGTTCCCCTTCACTTTCGTATGTTGTCAGAAATAAGTATGGTGCTAAAGCTTTGCGGAAATTAGTAATGTCACAATCTGGCTGGAGATATGATCTTGGTTGAAATTTGCCTATTGTATATTGTTCTAGCTGCAATGCTGTCAAACTATGTTCTGTTATTTGGATTCGGGTTATTGTCGAATTCGAGTATGTGTCCAAAATGAAATACTAAGATGATATAACTGCAAAGATTACCGTGTCATGTCTTTGTTTAAGGGATGGATCAAAGGAGGCTACTGGGAGCAGTTGTCCCTTGAAAATTCAATGTTCGTTGATGCGTTTCTGCATTACATATAATGTGCAGGGAAATTTCAGTATCGGCCATATTGTTGGCAAGGTGTTATTATTCGGGGTTGGCAAGGTGTTGTTATTCGGACGATTGTCTTCAACCATTCCCTCGATCTATCTTTGCTTACAATCGTCGTTTCTTTCTAGGGTTTACATCACATATTGTTGAGAACTTTGATTAATTAACATGTTGTCATCAAGCGACATAACCATGGTGATCAAACAAGCTGACGCCATCAAATTACCTTCCCCTATACGAAATAAAAAACATGACAAATTTTTATATAGGTTTGGTTTATATTTATACGAAGATAAGTTGAATGATATGTAAATGTAAAGATTATCAACAATCCATTATTGGTTTGGCAGCCCATTTAAATATTCATATTTGAACTAAAATCTATCAAGTGGGCTGCTTCGAAAATTAATCAGCCCTCGATCTCTAACTTTGTTCAATTAAGTCCAGACAAGAAAGGAACAAAAATGACTTATTCTTTAGGTGTAAACTATGTAATTAGTTTCTAAACTATCAATTTTGATCCGTTTTAGTATCTAAACTTTTAACTTTTTAAAATCATACATAAACTTTAGTTTTTGTTTCATTTTAGTACCATTTATTAAAAACTTAACGCGTGTAATACTTAAACTATCATTTTTTTTTATCCGTTTTAGTACTTAAACTTTCATTTTTTTTCAAAATTTAACGTTAAATTTTGAACGAGATATTAAAATGAAACAAAAACTAAACTTTAGGTATGATTTTGAATAAAAAAAATCAAAAGTTTAAATACTAAAACGAGCTAAAATTGATAGTTTAAGTGATAAACACGTAATTTATCCTATTCTTTATCGAACTCTGTGGGACTTTCTGGTAACCTCAACTCATTTCCAAGTGCTTCTTCGACCAAACGAAAGTGATATGGTTGTTGAATTAAAGGTTTTAGCTGTTTTGTTTTTCATAATCATGTTTCCCACTAACTTTCATGGCGACGCATGAAATGCAGCAATGTGTTGTCCAGCGATGGATTTTTTTATTAAGTTAAAAAGAGGAGTATAAAGTAATATTTGTTTTAAATATTTTTAATTATTTAATATTGAATATTTATTACCCTACTATTAGTGTTCTAATTCGTAACCTCTAGAAACAATAACGATTCATTTAATTACTGAAATAAACTAATTTGTGTTAGGGATGAACTTCAACGGCACAGATAAGACGATCGTATCTTAAAAGTTTAAAATTATTATATATTTTATATTTTTTTTTATTAAAAATATATTTTTACTCTTCTTAGAGTTTTAGAATTTTATAAGTTTAAGTTTATACTATAAAATTTTACAAATTCAAATTCGTCCTCCTAACACAAAATCACGTTGTTATTCCAAATAAACAAATCAGGCGCTGATATTTTCAGCTAAAACCATAGATATTAAGGGTGTAAACGTCCAATATCAAAAGGTTGACAGATTTCTTTAAACAAATACTTGAAAATTTAAAATGAATCCACCTTTCATGGCACGGCTACACCCCCACCCTATTTCTAACATTTAGTTAACTTATTAGATGCACAAAGCAAGTGACCTCTGTGGTAAAAGAATTGTTATTATTTTGTTAAAGACCCGGGTTCGAGCACCATAGATATTAGGGATGTAAACGTCCAATATTGAGAGGTTGAGAATTTTTTTAAACAAATATTATCTTGTATTTACTCCATATTAATAAAAAAATTATTAGATAACATCAATATTATATGATAGTTGAAAATGAATAATGACACGTTTTCTTTATTTATGAGTGTTGAAAATTTCTTATTTTAGTCCACACTAGGATTCAATAATTGTGCACCATTCAAAAAATTGTGACCCTTTTAATACAATCTTTGATATGCTACGTTATCTACCATAAAAATTACTATAAATTTCTCGACCGAGACCGAGAGAAGGATCTTTAAACCTATCTCAGTCATCTTTGGCCCTTCTTTCACTCCTCCTTCCTTATGAAGACATGATACACAAACATTGAATATTAATCATATAATTATTCATCACGACTCTTCGTTCAAATTAAAAGAAATTGAATCGTCGGTGAATTCATTTGTTATTATCAATAACATCACCAGTGTTGACTTTTCCCTGCATTAGTGCAATTAGTTTTAGAATAGGGTATGGTCTAACTTGTTTGTTTAGGCAGGGAGAGCTATGAGGATGTAATTATGGGTAAGGTTGTTGCATGAATATGACTTTTTCTGTGCAGCTTTAGACTTGCTGCAATTTATGTTTGTCCTTTCGATTAATTATTTCCACTTGGCAAAGAAAAGTCAGAGGGAAATGATAGTTCGTTGTTCATCTATAAATATTCACTTTGAGTTCATTGTATAATAATTAATAGTATGTGCCTATATATATATCTATGCAGAGAACTAAGATTCAGACTCCTAAAAATATGATAGAATTTTGCTAGGATTTAAACTCCTAAAAATAGGATAGAGTTCTACTATGATTTAAACTCCTAAAGATAGGATCCACAAGCACTATAAATAGCCATTGTAACTCACTATTGTAATACATTCGGAGGAGGATATACGAAATACCAAGCAAAAAATTACAAGTAACTCGTAGCTATTTTTCGAAGCATTTATATTTTGAAAGGTAAAGTTCATACATTCGCATGTTATTTTTCCTTACCCTTGCTGTGTTTTGATTTCGAACGAAAACTGAGAGAAGTGTTTTTGGCCGATGAACGGAGGCGTTTTCGAGATCTATTTTTGTAGATCTAGTCCCCGAGACTTGTGTTTTTGAAAAACTATTCGGATTTTTATAAACGGGTCGTGTGGACCGTGTGTTTTGTCGTTTTTTCTTCGATTGACTTTTAATTTTGACCCCTAATTCATTTTTTATTTTAATTTAACTCTTATTATTTATATGTATATTTATTATATTTATTTATTTATTATAATTTTTTTCATTTTTCTTTACGTATATTATATTATTTTCCATTATTATATATATATATATTATTATTTTTTTTATCTATGTTTACTTATTTACTATGTTTTTTTACTATATTTTCCTAACGTTATATATATATATTCTTACTTTACTTTATTTTATATTTCTATGATTACTATTTTTTTAGTTAATATTATGTATGTATTTATTTATTTATTATTATTATTATTATATTATACATACATTTTTATATTTTTATATATATTTTTTATTATTTTATTTATACTATTTATTAATTTTCATTATATTTTTAATTTCTTTGCTATTATTATTATTTTTCTTTTTAAAAAAACACTTTACATTTTTTATTCTTTTTGTATATATATTTTATCTTTATTTATTTATTTTATTTATTCAATTTCATTTTTTTCATCCAATTATTTTATGTTATTATTATTGGTTTCATTTTTTTCTTTGGTTTACTCTTAGTTTTTACTTTCTTTTATTATTATTTTCTTTTAAAATCTTATTTTTTAAGGGTATTTCCGTAAACTCATTAAGGTAAGTAATTCGGATCACAATTTTACCTTTTAATTAACTTGCAAATTTCTTAATCAAAGACAACTGGAAATTACGTAGTACCGAAAGGACGGTTCAAGGGTGCTAATCCTTCCTTGACCGTAACCGACTCCCGAACCCGACACATCTTTGGAAAGACGCAGATCAGGTAAGAAATAGGGTATCCGATCAACCCATTTGTTTTAAATAAATGATCGGTGGCAACTCCAATCCACATTTTTCAAGTCGAAGCCCAATTCCGGGGCCCAACCGAAAGACGGTGGCGACAGCTTGGCGACTCCACTGGGGACAGGTAAGTGAGTCAGGCTAAGGTAATTTCAGTTGTCTTTTTTAACGAAAAGGGTAAGTTTAAATTTTAAGATAACATTTCGATCCTTTTTTATTTATTTTTGATTATATTTTTGAGTAAATAGTTGTACTAATCGTTTTCTCGTGATTTCAGCCCTCAAATCTTTTTCATTTAAGGCTCTATACCTGAGCTCTAAACCCTATTTTAAGTGGGGTAAAAGCGACGCCTTCGTGTGAATTTATTCACCGTGCGGGCCTAGCAAGTAGCCTTCGGGATTCATATACCTTATGTCTTCGTGTGAATTTATTCACCGTGCGGGCATAAAGGAATGTGTCCTCTCGAGTTTAACTTAGTCCACACAAGCCTGTGATGGGTTTAGGACTAAGGGTCTGGCAAGCCCAAGGGGACACCAACAAGGAGAACTCGGGTACCGTTTTTAGAACCTAAACCGGGAAACCATAGAGAATTAAAGCCTACCCCGAAACCACATTCCAAAACCTAAGATATTTTTACCCTAACCATTTTCTTTTTTGTGTTTTTTTCTTTCGTAATTTTATTTTTATTTTTATTTTACTAATCCTTTTGCCTTTGTGTTTGTTTTCTAGCATTTACATCATAACAAGATGTTATTGATCCATAAAAAACGCTTGTTAAACACAAAATAAATCCGAATTAATGGACAAAGGTGGTTGTAATACAAGAGATTAAAAAC